TCGTGGAAGGAATGCGAAAATCTACCTCCACCATGAAAACGCTCGACCTCACACTGCAAAGGCGACCCAGGCCGAGCTGGAGAAGTGCGGATGGCTGATGGTCGCTCACCCTCCCTACAGCCCTGACCTCGCTCCTTCTGACTACTGGCTGTTCAGCCACCTGCAGCGCTCTCTGGACGGAAAAAAGTTTGAAACAAAATATCAGGTCAGAAAGGCGCTCGACGATTTCTTCAAGTCCCAGCCCCCGTCGTTCTGGAAGGAAGGAATCGACAAGTAGCCTGAGCGCTGGCGTCGAGTAGTGGATGGTGACGATGCATACTTCTAACCTTCAGGTTGGTTTTGAGATATTTACGAAAAAAGTCGTGTATAAGAACTTATGCGACAACCTAATACATTGGAATGCAAATGCACCTACGATAAGCTTTGTTCTACACGACATTGAACGAGCATTTCTGGACGAGTTTGCGGCGGCATCGTGCCAACAACCACATTGATACATACGGTTGTATTCATATATCTATTTTTTTTCTAAATGAAACAATAAGAGAACCAGCGTCGATGTGACTGTGCGACACTTACGGGAGGGCGGTTGCAGTGAGCATTCGGGTCGGCATGCTGACCCGAATGCGGCGCCATAATGTGGCCTTGCTAGGAAAAGCACCACGCAGTGCCTGCTAAGGGTAGAGGTGTCGACCCTGTACGCCTCGTCGATTCATCGTGCCCTACGTTTTTATGGGGTAGTGTCTTAAATTTGGGTTAGGTCAAGTGTTGGTGTATAATCCTCATACAAGTTGTTTTGAACCTTTTCAATGATATGGTCAATCTTTAGGTACTCGAGAAAACTGTGTGGAGCCGAGTTGAAGGAAATCAGTTGGAGGACCGCACTTTGAACAAGGCCTGGCTAGCCAGGTTGTTATTATCCCAACTATATGCAATTTGCTACGATTGTTTGTTTGTTTGCTTGTTTGTCCCCAAGTTCGGATCTGCTTGAAGCGCAACTTGGAGTGGTCGTGTCAAGGTTGGGATGAACAGGGCATGGGACAAGATGTGAAGAGCAGACGTGACCATGCTAAACCCTACACGAGGTGGGCGGGGAATGCGCCAAAGCCAGTTGTGTCGCAGACAAGGGGGGAGGGAAGTGGACTAGCGTTAGGAAGGGGTTGGCAGACTAATTGGGGGAGACACCCGAAATGGGTGGGACATACTTGAGATAGGCGGTGCTTTTCACGATATTTAGTAACTCGGTTTTCGAGAGAGTTCAGAAACAGCAAAAGAACGCCGATGAGAAGGGGAACATTTGGGAGAGCTAGACACCTCTGTGGTTTGTTGGACTCGCCTACAGTGGGCGAAGAATGTCCTTGAGGTATTTTTCAAAAGATTGTATTTCTGTTCTAGGGCACTCCAATCACGGAAAATGTGGATGAATGACAGCGAGGGCTCACCGGCTGAGAAGTGGACGAAACCCGTTGTGAGCGGGCGTGAGCTGATGTGGGCAGAGCCGAACTAAGTTCTTGTATCGGTTCAAGTGCAACCCGGAGATCCAGAAAAAATGAGCAGAGGCGTGCAACAGATTTGCTATAGAAGACAGAGAGACACGCCCATCGTAGTCTGAGCATGCGTCGAGGTGTCGAGGTGGGCGGAGGAAAAGTCGAAAAGGCTATAATAGGTTGCGGCAGAGGTATCAAGAAAAACTGGATTAGCCACAAGGGGTCGGCTTGATAAGGGGAAAAAAGTTCTCAAAATAGGTGGGCCGTGCTCGAGATGGGCGGTGCTTATTACAAAGTTTCGCAGTTCGGTCCAGAACCGGACAATCGTTGGAGAGGCAGAACTCCTGGCGAGAGTTGGGGATATTGTGGTGTGTTAGTACCAGTCCACAGGTGGTAAAACCTGCTCTCAGGTACTTACTTTCCAGTATGTTTTAGCATTAGGAAGCCATATTTTCGAACAACAATCTTCACAGGTGCATTTGATACCTGCCGGTTCGCCGGCTATCTGACGCCGGCGCGCCTCCGTTGATACGGTCCTGCTTCGCGGCGCGTAACTTCTTTCGCATGTTTTTATACTCAACTAATACCCAGCTTTTCTTTCATCTGTGTGTTTGGTCAACGCTCTTTTACCACCATTTCATAGACGGTAATAGCATGTAATATGAGAGGATTTCTGAGCTTCTTCTTGTGTCTCCTTTGTAATTGATAGAAGGAAAGTCGAAAGTCGTTTATTTCATAGACGACGTTTCGGGCTTGAGCCCTTCTTCAGGTCTACTAATATCACATTCAAACCTACACCAACATCATCTAACTTTACGACCATACAAGAAATTCAAAGGGGGAAAAGCAATCAACAAATAACTGACCAGCTTCCTAGGGGAAGGAGGAGGGTTTGGGTGGGAGGGGGATCCGGGAGTATGCTGCAAGATGGTCTGTGATGATGTGAGAAACAACAACACGCAACATTGGCTCACCTCCCCAGCTATCCTTTCCTTCAGAAATGGCACAGCTAGATTGGTGAAACAGTGGTAAGATATTAGTAGTTGATACACTGCTATTTTTCATATGTCACGTATCACCGATTATGTCACATCATTGTGCAGCAATGAACTCCATTCTTAGCTCCTCCCTGTTGTTGATCGGTGGGTTCCTCCTTCGAATCTTCAGCGCTTCCTTTATTTTCATCTCCACCGTGTCACTTATGTTCCTGTGGATCACGCGTACCTTGAGTTCTGGTGCACGCTCATTCGTATGGCGCGAGGAACGATGTCTTGAAAAAGGGTTATCTAGATAGCTGGCTGGGTTCCGGACAGCCCTCAGATGTTGTCGAGCCTTTTGTAGAGTGGTCGTCCAGTTTCTCCGATATAGGATTCCGAAGATTTCTTCCTAAGCACAAGTGCATTTCCACTCACTATCAGCTTGTGAAAACGCACAAACTGGAAGATTCTGAAGAAGTAGTCAGTACGTCACAGCGAGAACATCAAGATGAGACCTATTGTTTCCTCATGCTTTGGCCCACAGATGCAATCAGCTGGTTCTTGCAGCACATGCTGACACCGCTACTCAACTATGTACCAGCTCATCTGAAGAACGTAGACCATTTCCTGAATACCTGCAGGGAACGACCATTCCTATCGATCCCAGAACATCATATCAAAGCGTATCTGCGTTGTACACAAACGTGGATGCAAGGATTGCCGTGCATAAATCTTCTACGAACACCAGAACAGTTGTCAACTTTGCGGACTGTCCATCAGCAATATCGAAGAGCTGCTGAGTAATGTTGTGAAATTCAACATGTTTCGTTTCCGTAACAGCATTTATGAGCAAACGCGTGGATTCTCAATGGGCAGTCGAATTGCACCGCTTCTCGCAATCCTATTCGTGGATCGTTTGGAACGGCGTTCGCTATAATCGGGATTACTGTCTTACGGCCGCTATATAGACGACATATTTGCCGTTGTAAAGTTTAGAACAGCATTACTCCAACCTTCTTGAAGCTGAACTCAGTGCATTCAACCATTGCCCTGACTGTCGAGGAACCTAACACGATGGTTTTCTACCGTACTTGAATACTAAAGTGAGACTGTCGGTAGGAAATATATTTTCCATGTGGCATAAGAAACCTGCTTAGAAGAACATCCTGATCCACTCGAGAAGCTGCCACCCTCTTTTCATGAAAAGGAATATCGTTCAGAATGCCTTGACAGCAGATCGGAGGTTGACGTCCACAGTGTTCCTGTAGTGATGGATACCGTGACGCGTATAGTTCTCGAAAACGGCTATGGAAGCAGACGCGCAAATTGTTGGCGCCCATATCGCCCATATCACTAGGCACTAGGAGTCGTCCCCCTTTCTCTCAGATTCCTTCGCAAACGATGTCAATCAAGTTGTAAGGAATTCGGGAATGCCAATTCGCTTGATATTTCGACCGCCGCCAACGTTACGTCGTCTTCTTACGTCGGCACGAGTATGCGAAGACCGATGGGGCCGCGGAAACTGTCTTTACTGCCAGGAGGAACGAAAGATCTGCCTTCTGAAGAATACCGTCTACGAAGTGGAGTGTGCGTCATGTTCGGAATTCTACATCGGAGAACAACTGGACGACCACTCTACAAAAGGCTCGACGAACATCTGAGGGCTTTCCGGAACCCAGCCAGCTATCCGGATAACCCTTTCTCGAGACATCGTTCCTCGCGCCATACGAAAGAGCGTGCACCAGAACTCAAGGTGCGCGTGATCCACAGGAACATAAGTGACCCGGTGGAGATGAAAATAAAGGAAGCGCTGGAGATTCGAAGGAGGAACTCACCGATCAACAACAGGGAGGAGCTAAGAAGGACAATGGAGTTCATTGCTGCACAATGATGTGACATAATTGGTGATACGTGACACATGACAAATAGCAGTGTATAAACTACTAATATCTTACCACTGCTTCACCAATCTAGCTGTGCCATTTCTGAAGGAAAGGATAGCTGGGAAGGTGAGTCAATGTTGCGTGTTGTTGTTTCTCACATCATCACAGACCATCTTGCAGCATACTCCCGGATCCCCCTCCCACCCAAACCCTCCTCCTTCCCCTAGGAAGCTGGTCAGTTATTTGTTGATTGCTCTTCCCCTTTGAATTTCTTGTATGGTTGTAAAGTTAGATGATGTTGGTGTAGGTTTGAATGTGATATTTGCAGACCTGGAGAATGGCTTAAGGCCCGAAACGTCGCCTATGAAATGAACGACTTTGGCGAGTTTCATTCGATCAATTACAAAGAAGGCACAAGACGGTAAAGCATTTGAGGTGATAGGTATGACGCTTTTGGTCGAGGAGAGTTGATCATATGTGTAGATAAACGAAAATTCTGCTATAGTTGAGTGTTGAAACATACTAAAGAAGGTGCGCTCGGCCAAGCAGGGTCGTATTCCAATGTGAGACCCGCCGGCAAGCCCAGTGATGGATATTATCACGTTTCGTACCTTATAACGATTTGCTGCCGTTATATGGTTACGTTATTGCTGCTGATTTCCAGATATCTAGAGGTGTGTCGTAAGGTGATTGTGGACGACCTGCAACTGGCGCGTGCTGCTGTTCCGTGCTTTCCACCTGACTATCAAATCTATGACAGATTCGTTCATATGTACCACAATTGCGTGTGTAAAAGAGTAAGGGTTTCATATGGCTTCTACTCATTTTATATATCCTGATAAATGATGAATGATGAGTTTTGGTGATGATGAATTTTTTAGCTCCGCGAAATTGCAGCAGAGCGAATGGAGAAAAGCGAGTTAGTACAATTATTGAGTTGGATTCAAACATATGGGTAAGGCTTGGTTTTATTCTCAATGCTCCAACCTGTTGTGAACGACTGCTCAAATAGTAGTATTTCCCTTTCCGAAACTATCGTTTACTTTTATGTGTCCTGTACGCTCCATACTCCAAAGATGGAAGGGCTTGACTACGTACTCCATTCGAACACGATGCGTTTCAGTTTGGTACTACTAGGACAACTATCATGCTGTCTTGCTGCGGGCTAAACCATTGTGTCATTTCACCCAAAATAACAATATCCCACCAGTACTAGCCGTCGCCATATGCATATGAAGTACGCGGGCACACCCTTCTCAACTTCCGAGTTTGGAGTGTGCTTGGCGTTACAAGAAGTTTTCGAGAATGTAATCGCAACGACTTCTGTTTTCAGCGGTGAAGAGCTACTTGGTAATCGCCGTTTACAAATCAATACAGTTGCGCTGCTGGATGATGTTCCTGTACTCTCCAGATCCACTCTTAACACACTTTACGACAGGTGAGTGGCTCCGATTCTGCGTTCCGACTTTCGATGAAGGGTTTGAAGCGGAAATGTTCTCTAATATTCTCGAGTCCTAATATGGGGGGGGTGGAGGGAAGGAGCCGTTGTCGATAAGTCAACATTAATACTCCTTCTGTTAGTATTAGTCGTTTTCCAGTTTTTTTTTCTTGCAGTGTAGACAATGTTTTCGTTACGAACCGTCAGCACCTCTACCTTTTCATCAACTACTCTGGTTCGAGCATGAGAGCTGCAGAGATAGAGTATCTACTCGATAACACACTTACGATACCGCTAGGTCATGCCTGCGGCACGATTTCAAGGGGTGCTTATCTTGGGAGTGAAATTGAGTGGAGCTAACATGTTATCATTCATTTCTTTTTCTTTCTTGTGGGACATATTATACTCATACATTTTCATCTACATGTTTATTTATGACTAGTTGTGGGTTCACAACACTGGGGCGGGGCGAGAAATGGAGCGGTAGCTCCGCACAAAATATTAATGCAAATTTTAATCTGTAAACAACCATCAGCAAGAAAACAGTAAAGCGTGATCAAAGCATTAAGTAATACACATAATGGTAATCAAAGCGGGTGTATACAATGACATTTTGTACATATGCCTTTATCTTGATACAATTGCGCGACATAGGAAGGATCCATCTTCGTTCGACTGCGGCAGTGACTTGCTTGATGGCCTGCAATGTTGCAGCCACGCAGTTCTTCGTCGGTGGCACAGCGGGACAGCAGGCAGTCGTCTGTTCGAGTCTACTTTCTTTTCCGCCGTCGAGTGCTTTGATCCAAGCGTCAAATGTGGAAGTCTTCATGTCGACAGCACTAGACGATCTTTAATGCGTTGTTGTTTTCTCTTGAGGTCTTCAATACTATCCAGCAGACAATAGAACATGTCGCGAATGTCCCTGTTGAAGGTGACGCCTTTCTCGTCTCGGGAAACGAGTAGAGGCGTAATGTCATCCTAGCGGGTTTTGGCGACAGAGCTGATTTGTTGAGCGGCTCAGAACATGAAATAGCATGTGTATGTTCCGCTGTCCTCTTCAGACGAGGTTTTTTAGATAGGCGCTGCTTCTTCGCGGAAGAGTCGTGGAGTATGGCCATAGTGGCCTCAGCACTAGTGATATCGAGGTCGAGGAAGATCCTCCTGCGGACCTTCAGTGGTAAGTTGGACGGACGGATCAGAAGACATGACGATGACATCCAGCAGGCTGGAGTTTCCATTTATAGGCACTGGCCGTGCTGTAGGCATGGAAGTATCTTAAGTCGTCGTTGATAGCGTGTCATAAATACTATAGAGGGGCAATTAATATGCAGGTACGTGATAGATAAGGGGATGAGTATATACATGTGTTGCCCGATATCCGTTTTCTAGCAAACTATTCGCAATAGAAGTTTCGAACGAATAGTATTATTGTGATTATGAAGAGCACGGCTCCTATTGAAGTGAACACAAGGGTTTTCCAGTGTTCCACGGCCACATCCAGCAAAATGTCCGAGATCGGGGTAGTTGAACATGTCGACGTAATTAGCATGTTCCGTAGATTGTTGTGATGGCTTTCTCCAGTGCGTATGAAACGCTAATACGCCTGATATCGGATGATGTGCGTCCTCTGTCCACACTTCACCTGACACCTATCCTTGTACTTAGGTGCTGTTGCGTGAATAATGCGCTTCGTTCTAGCGGTGGAAGGATCGCACGCTGCTGCGAATATATTATCTTGGCATTCTATCTCAACCATGATTGGACGATCGGAATGGCATGAGAAGGTGACTTCTGCTCCTTGAAACAGTTGTAGCATCCTCGCAATGATGATGGGGTAAGTGTCGCAGTCCTCGTCATCAATAATGGAGTCTGCATGAAACAGTGCTGAGGTGCTTATCGTTAGATCAACGACGGCGCTGTGCACAGCTCCAAAGACTCTTCCATGATCGTCCTGAAGGTGTAGGACTGAAGAAGATAGAGGGAGCCTGCTGTCCATAGAGGTTATCTTACGGTTGACGTAAAGACTTTCGCACTCACATTTCGCTTCAGTCTCTGATGGGAAGCACGAACATCGGTCCTCGACGTAACATTCGGAGATGTTAGAGCACTATCTATTGTCGGGCACCGCAAAGCGATGAAGTCTTCCTTCTCGATAACAGCTGCTTCTGAGTGGCTGACGTTGACAGTCCCCATGAACATGATGCCGAGCAGAGGAATCGCTGGCGTTGTCACGAATTCCAGCGTTATGTTGGCTTCCTCCATGACGTGCGTTGCTTGCGTGTTTATTGGTATCGTGTCTGACACTGCGATTCCTCGAGCTCCGGTGTAGGTGAACTTTACTAAGGCTGATTCTTTCCACGTTGGGCAATGGAACACTTGAGATCTTATCGTTCTTCGGCTTTGCGCAGGAGCGGGAAAATAAGCAGCCAGGCACTGGAAGAAGGCAGCCGCATCCGATTCCTCCACAGATGTAGTACATCCATCTGTATTCCAGGAAATTGTACGTGCCATGTGGTTCGGGAATCTCCGATCTGCTGCCTAGCAGCTTTGTGATGTGCAGGATCCAGCCAAGTGGCATCGTTTCACAGACTCTGTGATGATGCTGACGTCTCTGTGTAGAATAGCATGACTGGATTGCAGGTCAAGAGGACATGTTGTAGATGTACTTCCATGCTTCCAACTGTTTGGTTCTTGTTTCGTAGAAAGGAAGCAAGCCTGAGGTCTGTTTTCGGTGATGGTGCTCTCCAGTACCTCTCGGCAGTCGGTTTGGTAAGATGAGCGAGAGCGGACTGTACTGTTAGCACTGAGTGTATGCGTGTATTGAGATGATTCCGTGATAGGGGTTATGCATGCAAATATGGCGCTGAAGATTATCATCTTCGAGCTTGTTGGTAGCGTCGACAAGCTTATCATGGTTCGGCTTTCCATGTCCTGTTGTGTTCTATTCCGCTTAGGCTTTCCTCCAGATCGTCGCAGACAGTATAATTTGGAGTATGATTGCCACGCAGCCAAGTAGAGAAGCAATGAAATAGTACTGCAAGACACATTGCAAGGATCCCTGTCACCATTCTCGGGGCGCAGTGAGGATTCCCCAGAAGCTCAGTGCAGAGAATGCAGCTGATCGTTTATCAAATTTCTCCAGGTGGACAGACTATCGTCGCTGTGTATTGTCTGGAATCAACAATTTGTACGCCACTGTATAGTGTGCTGGCTGACGAGGTACTTGAATGGCAAGGCTATCTCCGTTATATTAGCTCCAGCTGGAATCATCGTGCATTGCTTGTAATTTATGCTGAGCTCTGCTGCGGTGGAGAGGGTAGTGTTGAGTGTTGCTCCTTTGTTTGAGCAGGATATCGTGGCTGCCGAAGCTGAGCCGAATAGTGTGAATATACACGTGGCAGTAGTGAGAACTGCAGATGAGACCGCTTGGCTTGTTGATCCTCTTTTGGTCTCACTATAAGAAACATTCTTTTTTGCAGCCCTTGGTGGCTGTTGTCTGAGAGCAACGCCATCTTCAGGTCCATATCTGTTGGATGGCTTCCGCCGGACCGTGTTCGCTCCTTCTGTTGTTGAAGGTTCATTAGTGCTGCCTTCCGATAATTTAGTGGAAGCGTGTATCTCCAGTGGAATGAGACGATTGAGCGGTCGCTGAAGGATTTTTCCTGATGCTGTTTGGAGCATCGCTTCGAATCTCTACACCTCTGTTTTTGATTAGATCGGTAATCACTGCCATTGGCCACTATCCTCGTGGCTGTTGAGAGTCGTCGTCGAGGAGCACCTTATCTCCGCTGCTTGGTTGCTGATCTGTAGGCCTGGTCTTTTTTCCGATCAGTTTGTGACGGTCCCGTAGTTCCATGAGATATCGTTCCTCCATATGCTCCAGAACTTCTTAGTTAGTTTTTCCGATGCTGATATTGCTTGCTTTGCTGCTTTTTGGGAAGAAAGTTCAGGAAGAGGTTGAAAATCTGGATCTTCGTGGTCATCTGACGATAGCTGAGTTGTTCCATGCCGCACGTCTTTATAGATGAAGTCAATAGGTCGACGAGCTTCACAAGGTGAGCTATGGTCTCCGATTATAGTGAGTGGCCTAAAATTGACAACACTTTCAACCTCGCATAGTGTTGTTTGAAGCAACTCGTCTGTCACCTTCCGACCTATTGTTTTTTGAAGCGATCTCTTGACAGTGCCGACCATTCTCTCCCATACTCCACCCATCCATGACGACGAGGGCGGTATGAAATTCCATACTATTCGATGTTCTGTGAGAAGTAGGGACAAATGTGGATCTTCGTCTTCGTTATTACAGTTCTGGTTGAGAAGGACTTCGTCAAGCGGAAGCTTGAGCCGTTACGCTGAGCATCTCCATACGCCTCTTCGAGCGATGAATCTTTTGAAAGTGAAGATGAAGCTATTGGCTGAGAGGTCCCTTGCCACTTCGAGATGAACTAGTTGTGTGATTAGGCATGTGAATAGCGCAACAATCGTTTAGAGTCCTCTCCAGCTGCGGATTTAATAGTGATCGGTTCCATGAAGTCCACTCCAGTGTGTGCGAATGGAGGTGATCTCGTTACTCGTTCGGAAGGTAGCGGACCCATGTTTGGGTATTTGAATTACAGGTGTTGCATTGAATTTCCTGCAAGTGACGCAGTGTTTAAGAATCTTTTTGCAAAGTGCTCTGTCTTGCGGTATCCAGAATCGTTGCCTGATATTGTAGAGTAGCTGATTGGTCCCGCAGTGTGACAGGCTTCTGTGCAGATGTGAAGCGATTAAGCACCCCAAGTTGCTTTCCTTTAAATGTGTACAGGATTTGCAGCCGAGAATGAAAGTTCAGAGTTCTCAAGTCTGCCAAATTTCCTGAATATGTTGTCGCTGTCAGCTTGGACGTTCAACTGCTTGTTCTCCATCAACAGTCTGGAGTTATGTAGTGCTTGTTCCTGACGAATAATGAGCTTTTCGGCCTGGATAGCTTCCTCCGCTGTTGCTGTGCGTGATTCGAGTTCATTCCTTCTGAGAGGTAGATATTTTCCCTTGCTTGCTCTCTGAATGAAACGAGTACAATATGCGACTACTCTGATCAACTTGTAGTTGTTCATCTTCTCTGTTGGCCATACTGCTGTTCTCGGGATGATGTTCGCCGTATAGGAGCATAATTCGTCACTGGAGGTATTTGTATCGTACAGATTCTCAGCCTTTGTAAGTGGCCATTTCTTCGTTGGCATGTTCAGCCAATCTGGGCCGCACCACCAGCGATGGCTCACAAAATTCTCTCTGGTGACTCCTCGAGTAGCGCAGTCTGTCACGTTTTCCTGCGTAGGTACGTGGAAGAAGGAGACCTTGCAGGATTCTTCTAGTCGCTTCGAAATGAAACCGATTTTCTGGACAAGTGTTGTAACCATAGGCGGTAGCGGTTTAATTCCTTGTATCCAGCATAGAGCGATTGTTGAGTCGCTGAATAGGGTTATCTGCTTGAATTCTATATTGACTTTCTGGATTGTCTATTCTGCCAGACTTAGTCCGATGAATATGGAAAGAAGTTCTAGGCGTGGTATTGTCTGTTCCTTATTTATTGGAGTAATCTTGGACTTCGCTGTGAACAGTCTTGACACTGCGACTCCTTTGTTTGATGTTGATCTTACGTAGATACAGCAGGCATACGCTCTTTTGGAACTGTCGACGAAGATTGACATCGTATGGCATGTGGATTTGCTCTTTTCCAATACTTTTCGCGGTAGGATGATTTCGAATCCACTGATGATGGCCTTTATGCCTTCCAAGACTCTTGGTCCTGGTTAGACAATGGAATACCCCAGCCATACTTCTGTTTGTGAAGATCTTGGAGGAAGACTTTTGCAGGAGTCATTAGCGGTGATAGTAATCCGAGCGGATCATAGCAGTAGCCGTTTATTTGACTAAGAACTGTTCTTTTGGAAATCTTATCCATTTGTTTTTCTTGGCATTTAAGCGCTATGGATCCTTGAACGAGTTCCAAAGTATCCCGAGCACCTTGATCTCGGTGATTTCTGTCCTGTCCGCTTCCGTCCGTTGACGGCTGGAGAACTGGAGAGATACTCGCGAAGATTCATTCCAATTGACGAGAACAACTTTTTTGATTATTCGCACTTGTGAATCAAGTTTAGAATGGCAGGACTTGCGTTGATGTGAAATGGAACTCTGCAGAAGCGAAGATACTTGATGTTATCTCCAGATAGAGGTCGACGAAGATCCTATACCCACAGAAAGCGGTTACGTCTCTGTGATCTTCAGGTAGCTTGATTTGCAAGAAAGCCTTTTGTATGTCAGCCACCATGGTATAACGGTGCGTTCGGAATTGCAATACAACCTTATGGATGAGAGGTGTAAGAGAGTGAGCTTCCTTGGGCCCTTGGAAGGTGCTCGATCTCGTTGATCAAGATGTCCGCTATACTAGACGATCTGTCGTATTGCTTTTTGAGAATGCTTACTGCGGCTATCACAAGAATGCTGAGTTGTGGGCAAAAGTCGGACCACGGGCGGGACTCGAACCCGCATCTTCTGCTTACCGGGCAGTTGCGTTACCACTTACGCTACCGGGGCCACTTTTTAAGCTCAGAGGTCAAAAGTGGCCCCGGTAGCGTAAGTGGTAACGCAACTGCCCGGTAAGCAGAAGATGCGGGTTCGAGTCCCGCCCGTGGTCCGACTTTTGCCCACAACTCAGCATTCTTGTGATAACTTTCGTATCGCGCACTGCGGCGTAAAACAGCAGTTATCAAACAAAAACAGTCCTAAAGCTTACTGCGGCGTTGCATTTTTCCCCAATGACGGGTATACTGCTGATTAAAGCTTTTGCTTTTCCTTTCACTGCTTGTTTGAAAAAAAGGAATTTTTCCTGATCGCTTAGGTCCGCATCGTTATGTATGAGGGACTCGAATACAGACCAGAAAGTGCTGAACTCTCTGAAGTTGCCGGAGAATGTCGGGACTTCTAGCATAGTGCGTTGCGCGAACACTGCGCTCATACGAGCTGGCAGTGTCCGCTCTGCTAAATGAGTTGCTCTGGTTGCTGACAGGCTGATTGGTGACACTAGTAGGGCTTGCTGTCAGCTCCTCCTTTCTGAACTCGTTCTTGCTTGAAGACGCATGGTACGCTCAAACACATTGAGGGTGTATGAGACTATCAGCCCCCCACTTGTCGATGTGTCGTGGTCCCCCCGCCCAAAACTGCACTGGGTCAGAGTACGAGGCCGTGGAAAAGCGTTAATTCCTTGCTACACCGCCCTCACGTTTATGCTAACACCATCCGCGCGGCGCGGATGCGTGCAGCTCTCTTGGCTTTTTGCCAAGTTCTGTAATTGCGCTTTGGAATATAAGTACAATGCAATTTCATATGCGGATAACATTTTAGGTGCTGCAATATAAGAACCGAAGATGATGGCGAGTGTCGCGTTCGCGACGCCGCGTACGCGACGGCTCGGGGGCCCGCCCCCCAAGCTTCACTTCTTGTACTGTATGCGTTGATAACGGTGGCGCATAAAGCATAGTAGGAATCCACTGAACCGCACAAGATTACACACGGTGCTGCACATTCTTTTGGTGCATCGGCAGCTCCGAATCATACGGACAAGCCTTCGAGTCAGTTCTTGTAAATTCGCCGAATTGACTCCATAGGCAGGTGGCCAGGTAGTATCCCGCACGAAGCCGATTTCTTCGCGAGGAAGCACCATACTCACTGATTTGAAGTGAGAAAAGAAGGAAAAAGAAGGGGGAACCAGCGATGGCCCTCTATTTTCATAAAGTGAGTCTAAGCCGCTTCTGTCAGAATTTAACGGCTCAAATAGATGCGTTCACAGCCCTTGCGAATGAACCGCAGTACCCAGAAAACGCAGAGGAGTGCATTCGGTTTTGCGCGAAAACTCACTGCTATCGAAACAGCATCGACGATAGTTAGTACTTCACGAAATGATATCCTAGCCGTGCTAGATGCTGTACAGAAGGAGTACAACGAATTTAAAGAAGCAGAGAAAAAGGAGTTCTTAGAAGAGTTTCAAATGATGGAAAAGGAAATTCCCTTCGAAAAAGCACTGCAAGAAGTAGATGCGCTTCTTACCGCATTCACAACTTGCGCGGGAGAAATTAGATACGAACAGACTTCGGCAATGAAAAGGGCCAACGCCGAGTTTCCTCAAGTAAAACGCGAAAGCGCCATATTTCCTGCAAATAGCCCAGAAATTGCTGCTTCATCTGCAGGTCAAAATACTCAGCGCGATAGACAGAGCGAAGAACATGCGTCTCAGCTTGCCGAAATATCCACGCTGGAAGAAGATATCACTAATCAGCAAAAAAGATCAGAAAAAGCGGGAGTGTTCTCAAAACAACATCAGACGATGCAGAGGCATAACAGGGATGCTTCTTTAGATCAAAGCAGTAATGAAAACAAACAAGAACAAGAATCTTACACATGCGCATCTATTCAGGTTCCGAGAATTACAATTCCTTAGTTTTCGGGAAACCTGGAGGATTTTCAAGAATACTGGGCTGTCTTCGAAGTTATGGTCCACCTCAATGCCAATCTAAATGAAACAGAAAAAATGATCCTCTTGAAAGAGAGTCTAGTGAGTAAAGCAGCCACTACAATAAAGGGAATTAAGATGATACCACAGAATTACTCATGGATGGTGGACGTTTTGAAAAAAAAGTATGATAATG